CAAAGAGCACAGAAGAGACGGAAACAAAGCAAATCAACTTAAGATGAGAACTTTTTTCACACCAAGGCCCACAAGAAGACACAAAGAGCACAGAATGGACACAAGCAAGGCAAACCCTTTTGAAAAGAATGGAAAGCGCCCGGGAAAATTGGCACGGCAACCCCAAAAGTATGAGACCACGCTTTTGAGCAGACAACGCACTGGATCAAGGCTAACCTACTTGAGAAGAGACGAAAACAAGGGAAGCCAACTTAAAAGGCATGGACAGCACAAAGGAAAACCGACCAGGAAACCCAAAACAACGAAGCCAACAACACGAAAATCACATTGGGGCCTAGAGCCAGTTTTTTTGCAACAAGGCTCACAAAGACAAAGCACCAAGGGTAACCCATTTAAGACGGATGGAAAGCGCCTAAGGCACAAAGAGCACAGAAGAGACGGAAACAAAGCAAATCAACTTAAGATGATATTTTTTTGACACCAAGGCCCACAAGAAGACACAAAGAGCACAGAATGGACACAAGCAAGGCAAACCCTTTTGAAAAGAATGGAAAGCACCTGGAAAAATTGACACGGCAACCCCAAAAGTATGAAACCACGCTTTTGGGCAGACAACGCACTGGATCAAGGCTAACCTACTTGAGAAGAGGCGAGAACCAGGCAAGCCAACTTAAAAGACATGGAAAGCACATAGGAAAACCAACCAGGAAACCAAAAAATGCGAAGCCAACAACACCAAAATCACATTGGGGCCTAGAGCCAGTTTTTGTCGCAACAAGGCTCACAAAGACAAAGAACCAAGGGTAACAAATAAAAAAAACGAAAGCGCCTACTGAGAAGGCGTTGTACTTATAAGTATACTTATAGTACTTAAACTTATAAGTATGACAACTATATTGTAGTCTACTCATACATACGTAGCACAAGTGCGACCTAAGTCTGACCTAAGTGTAACCTGGTAAAACCAAGGTTTTTCGAAGAACCGGTCATATATCGCAAAACTCAAAACGCAGGAAGGACATGGCGCGCAGAGGGGGGCACACACTGCTCTGTACCCGCGGAACCGGAAAATGCTGCAGCCGTGCGCACTCACTCCTAAACAAAAAAACAAACCTCTGCTGCCAGGCGCGAGACAAACGCGAGACAAGGCGAGACAACACGCGACTATCCCGCCAGAGACGTTTTGCGGCTGCCGGATGATTACGCTCATTGGTGCGAGACAAACGCGAGACAATGCCGAGTCTTTGCCCCGCCCTCCGGCGCGAGACAAACGCGAGACATGCGTCTGATGTCCCCAATCGCCTATAGCGGACCCAACAGCCCCATCGCAGGAAGTCTGCCAATAGTGTGTAGTCATGTAAGCCCGCCCTCTCCGCCATTCTCAACTTTTTGAGCCGAACATTCCCGCGGGTGCGCGGATGTCTTCCAAAAACCAAGCGTTCGTAACTAGAACCTAAGTACGCTAAGTCTGTTCTGTCTACTTCAGGTCATACTTACGACATACTTATATGTATACATATAAGTGCAGTGCATGTACTATAACTCCAGCACAAGTCTGTTTTAAGTGCGATAACTTTTGATGTACTTATCATACTTACGTACATACTTATCGTCGTTTATTTAGACATCATCTAAACATATCCTCGTTATAACTATACTTATAAGTACAACGCCTTCTAAGTAAGGCACAAAGAGCACAGAAGAAACGGAAACGAAGCAAATCACCTTAAGATGATAATTTTTTGACACCAAGGCCCACAAGAAAACACAAAGAGCACAGAATGGACACAAGCAAGGAAAACCCTTTTGAAAAGAATGGAAAGCACCTGGGAAAATTGACACGGCAACCCCAAAAGTATGAAACCACGCTTCACTAAGAGGTGCATGGGAGGCACAAAGAGCGCAGAAGAGACGGAAACAAAGCAAATCAACTTAAGATGAGATTTTTTGACACCAAGGCCCACAAGAAGACACAAAGAGCACAGAATGGCCACAAGCAAGGCAAACCCCTTTTGAAAAGAATGGAAAGCACCTG